ATCTATCTATCTATCTATCTATCTATCTATCTATCTATCTATCTATCTATCTATCTACCTATCTTAAAGTCCATTGACTTTCTCAAGAAAAAAATAAATCCCCAATGGGAAAAAACCTAATGAAATAAAGATTCTAGGGAACTTTTTTGTGGAAGCTTCCACAGAAATAGGAAAGGGGAGGGCATAGATATTTGCAGCTCTTTTTCATTATTTGATTCAATACATTTATAAACTATACTCAAGCAAAATAAAAAGATAAGAGGAAGGAATTATTTTGCTGGAGAGCTCCAGTTTTGCAGAGTACAGTGTTGGAAAGGTGGTAAAATTAGAGCAAAAATGTCTCTCATATCTGTCCAATTTGATCTCCTCCACAATAGTCTGTTCTCAAGAGAGGAGGAACCAGTGCAAACCAGTTCATAAAACTGATTTGTTTCTCTGCTTTCTAATATGATCCGTCTTACGGAAATGTCCCTGCAAAATTTCTATCTGGTCCCTTCTCATTATTAAGGGTTCCCAACAGCATTTTGCTTTTTTAAAATATTGGACTTTTGAAAAAGTACGTATACTTACGTACAGCATAAAGGTCAAACCCTGTCATAGACATGCTCACAGATAGATGGCCGTTGGTATCACTTTGAGTTCCTCAAGCAAGAGAAAACAGACTATTTGAACTGGGAGTCATTGTGTGATATGAGAGCGAGATTTTGAAACATAGGTGGGAACACTAAATGTATCAAACTCATTGGGTCTGTCTTGAGCATTGTTTCTAATCTTGCCATGTTCACTGCGTGTTACTGTCAATTTAAAAAAAATGGGTGTGTGTATTGTATGTCCTATGTCTGAGTAAACAGAGCATTGCTCTCATTCTGTGACAATGTGTTGGTGTTCAGCACATGCCCCATAGCCATCCATGGAGAACCTTTTGCATCTAAAGTTCTAGAAATCTAGAAAATTCTAGAAAAATTCTAGCTATAGGCTATATACAACAAACTTGAATCCCATCAGCTGGTCAGTGTGAGGACTGCTGGGTCTCTATCTGACTTTCTGTCCCAGTTGAAGAAGAACTTGTATTAAATTTTGTTTGGCCCCGTGACAGATGAGGCTAGTGGTAGTCCATTGGCCCCATTGGGCATATTGCTTGTTCTGTTTGTCAATCAGTGAAATGTCTGTGTGACGGTTTCTGTCGTGTTGTTTTGGTGCTCGTGCTATGTCTGTCTGCAGGGTCCGCCAGGCTTCCCCACAGTTGCGGCTCTGCACAGTAATCAGATACTCACCGTCAAGGTTTGTGGTTGAAACGTATGGCTACTCAGTCAGACTCCTCAATCAGCATAAGAGTGTGTACGGACAGTTAGCTGGGTTCTTGTAAGTCAATTACTCCATCTGTCTTAGGAGTAAAAACCATCAACACATGCTGCCTCATGGACTCCAGTGAGGTTTTCTTTAAAAATTTTTTTAAATAAAATTTTCTTAGATGAAGATTTATCTAAAGCAACATGTATGGGGGAGGTGATCTTTGAAGTACCCCACATTTTTATTCAGACTCAATTATGTGGGAATGTATTGTGCCTCAGTGTTCTTATCTATGTTTTCTAACACCCGGTCGATTAAGCCATCATAAGAACTCCTGGCCTTTAGTCATCATTAAAAAGGCACCAAGGTTCATGCAACACTATGCTGGTTGAAAATCCTGGCTGAAAAATTGGACTGGTACTTTGTCCTTGGAATCTCTGCCTGTAGAAAAGCATATGAGAGCCTCTGGAGCTGTGGGATGATACTGAATTCAAAAACCAAAACCCAAACCCCAAACTCTTAACATTTCTGGCCAAAATAACTGTTTTGAAAAACGTTATTTGCATTTGAAAACCTAACCTTGCCAACATGCTCCACAGCTTTATTCTTTTCAACAACCAGGCTGGGGTTCTGGTGTCACACAAGCACTGGTTCTTATTTTCTCCTATTATTAGTTTTGATAAGTCTAATGCTTGTATCTTTATTTCTTTATGGGGCCTTCTGATGTCTATTCCTCAACTCTCTCACCTCTGAACTTCAACCTTTGACCTCACCTGCCTGATCAGATGGTGTTTCCTAAAATCAATCATGGGTTTCTCTCTGCTGATCAGCAGCTCATTAAACGCCGCCTCATTAAGGTAGTGCTGCTTCTGTCTGAAGTCTGATTCTTCTTTACTTTTAATTATTACTCTGCATGCTTGTATCAGGTATCTCCTAATGGTGGAGTGTTGTTTTGAAAACATCCCAAAGCAAAATAATTTTAATAAGTTGTATTTGGAGAATATTTGTAAGAGATAAAAAGACAATGTTGTACAATGTAAAAAGCATTGGCCTGGGAGCCAGGGGACCTGGGCTCAGATCCCAGCTCTGCCTCATACTATCTGTGACCTTGGGCAAGCCATTTAATTTCAGTGGTCCTTAGTTTCTTCCCATGTAAAATGAGGGTTTTGGACTATATGACCTCCCAGGTCCTTTCCAGCTTCAAATCTATCATCCTGTGATACTGTGAGTTTGAAAAGAAAAATTAAAAGAAATTAAAAGGTTTTTACCTTTTTTTGTCTTTTCTATTCTCAAAGTTTACTTATAATAATTGAAGTCAGTAAGGGATGTTTTCAGAACCTCCTGCCTCTTGTAATTAAGAAGTCATTCTGAACTAAGCCAAGAATGACTTTACTTTATAAGGAAAGGGCCTCGTTGTGTTATTTATTAATTACCTAGCCATGAAATGCATCTGTTGAAAGTGCTAGTCTAGCCATTTGTTTTATTACCACTATAAGGAAAGTTTAAAATCAAAACAAGCTGATGCAGCATTGTTCTTGTAGACTTATTTGAAAGGAGGGGACAACTTTGCTTCCAAGCACAGCGATTGTGATATAGCACTATTGTCAAGAGCTATCAGTGCCTGGCCACTGAGTACCTCTCTGTTTTATCACATCAAGCCAGCTCACATGGTATGAATTTATCTCCTTCCTGTGGTCAGGCAAGTGGCTAGCAGAGATGCCTGTTTTATGTCTCTCTAGGGTTCTTTTCACCTTTTGGTTACTTGAATCATTTGAGCCAAAGAGTAGTCAACAAGGCAATTTTTTGAAGAATGCTTGAATAAGAGATGCCTCAGAACATGTCCTGTGTGATCATCTGTATTTCTGTTCATTTTTCCCTTGCAGGGTGACCAAGGTCAGGCTGGCCCTCCTGGACCCCCTGGCCCACCAGGACCCAGAGGGCCCCCTGGGGACACAGGAAAAGATGGTCCCCATGGCATGCCAGGAGTACCTGTGAGTTGCTGTCTCCTTATGCTTTCCAAATCACAGATTCCCAAAACTTTTTATGAGGAGTGACTATTCCTAATTTCCCTAAAGCCTTCCTGATGATCATTGGGCCAGGGTATGGGGTTGGGTTCAGGTTGTGGGGATAAGGGACGGGAAGAAGAGACATGAGGAAGGCATATATTGAGAAGTCTCCAAATGGAGTGGCAGCCAGGTGCTGCTGCCAGCCACAGCCCTCTTCCCTTTGGTAGCCTCAGAAGTGTCAGAGTGGGTGAGTGGAAGGGGTAGCAACTGATTTGGAGTTCTACCAGGTAAGGTTTGAGAATAAATGGTGAGCTACATGTATCAATGCTGTCTATCTCCCATAGCGGAGAATGGACCAGACTTGTATGGTTACTGTATGGTCCTAGAAGAAATCAGTCTGTCTAGCAATGAAAACCAACCAATAAAAACCACAGGGTATCTCCAAAGTCTTAGGACATTTAAAAGTTGTTATAGCTTAAGGCTGCATTGACTTGGGGAACACCTGTATACTGCGTTGTAAGTGATAAATGATTTTTAAAACTGCATTATAGCATACTTTACAATGAACTGAAAATGAGCCAAATGAGAGTTTATTTGCTTGCTTGCCTTATTATTATTTTTTAATTACAGTTCTAATGCAAAAGTTTTAAGGCAAACTTTCCTACAAATGCTATTTCCCATGCTGAATGGCACTATTAATTCTTCCACATAGTTATATGAGGAATTCACTCTTAGAATATGGTGGGCTAGCCCCAGGGATGGTATTGTTGAAGTTATACTACCATTAGAAGGAAAAATTCAGAATTCCAAAAGCTCGATTCTAATGACTCATTTTTCTCCAGATGATGCTCCAAATGGGCCATAGCCAAGAGAAGCTTCATTCTTGTGAATTGTATATTCTTTGGTAGCCTTGGTATTAGGGAAGATATGTGATATTATGGAAAGTGATGAATTTGGAGTAGAGAACCAGGTTCAGGAGCCTGGTCTTGCCTGACCTTGAGTAAGTTACTTCTCTGGGCCTCAGTTTCCATATTTATTCAATGAGGTTAGATGTCTAAAGTCCCTTCTAGCTCAAAATCTAATAAATATCTCTTCAAATAGCTTCCCTTTTTTGGATAGCTATATCAATCACATGTTATATTTTCTAGGGCTGTGCCAGGAATTAAATTCCATTGAAGAATTATTGTTAAGGAATGAGGATAAAGAGAGAAGTGATGGCCCTCCTGTTTACTATGAAGAATTTGTTTTAGCCTTATATCAAGGTGCAATAAATAGGAAAGTTCTTTGTGATCTTAAAGCTGCATATAAACATAAACTGCTATTATTGCAATGGATGTGTTAAGAAAGGAGCTCCTTACACATTTCATAGATCCAAACTGCTATTTGTAAATTCCACAGATTGAATTAGATATTTGATTATAGGTTCAGATTAAATTTAGTTGAAAAATTATTAAATATTATAATCCTCAGAAAGGAATTTCTTAAAAGAAATTCAGAAGCACCTTTTAAAAGGCTACCTGTTTCCAATGTCATTTGCTTGTCAAATGCAGTTATTTTGCTCAAATGCCTATTATTTTGTTCTATGACATTAATAATGATGATAAAGTAATCATAGGTTAGCATCATTGATTTGAGCTAGAACTAATCTTAAATGTCATTCTCTTCCACATCCCTCATTTTACAGAAAGGAAGACTAAGGCAGAAAAAAGCCAAATTTGAACCCATGTCCTCTCATTCCAATTCTACTGCTTTCCCTATTGTACCCCCATTAATCTAAGCAAAAATTAATCATGATAATAACAATGCCATTGAGGAGTCCTCCCTGGCATTTGGGGGTTAATCAATTATTTTAACCATTATCAATCAGTCCTAAACTCTAGAAAATTTTGTGTAGTGACAGTCTCTACATACAAATGAAATTCTTTTTCATGTAATTTTCTGTAATCAGAGAATAGTTTTGAAGCTTTCCTAAAAATTCTTTCAAAAGTCATGTATTCCATTGCACAAGAATACAATTTTGAACCATTTAAGGAGACTTCACATACATGAAAAGCATTTGTCTGAAATTTAGCAAAGACCTTTGTCTCAAATGGAGTTCATTGGGCCTTCTTGAACACTGTCAGTGCCTTGAATTTGAAAAGAATTTCAAAAGTTGACTGCATGGGACCAAAAAGTCTACTTCTCCTAAAATACACGGGCTTTGTGATAGATGCTCATTGTTCAGAGTTTTCTTATACTGTGTTGCCAAGTTTTTAGCTGTTTTTTTTTTAAATGGTGGAGGTTACCAGTCTGACCTCTCATTGAGCAGGGTATTATTCTAATATATCAGTGTTAGAATTCATTATTGCCTGGGCCCTCCATTGCAGCTCTCTTTTCACTTTGGTAAACAGTTATCGTGAGTTGTTACAGGCAGAAAATTTATCACCTGGAGACCAGTCAATCTTCCAGTAATAAGTCTTTCTAAATTTAACTAGGTTGGTTATTGAATGCCAGATCTATATTCTGTGATCAGACCATTATGAAAACCCTACCAGCTTAGTGGTAGGGCATGCCAGAGTTTGAATTTTTCTGTAGACCTGCAGAGAATCCAGAGTCACTTCTTCAACCTGATGAGGCATCAGAATAGAAATGGTATATAAATGCAATTTATATAATGTCACAAAAGTCTTGACGTAGTTGTAAACTTCAGTAGCATTACTAGCATTGAGTCCCATAGACTGTTACTTGGTCACCCCCATCTGACTGAGTTACCATTTCTATAACTCTTTAAGCTGACCTTGTGTGGAAACTATGTGCCTTTTTTTAGATTAAAAGATGACTACAGGATAGTTTTAAAGTAGTTCTCTTACCTACATTGTTTCTGTACCTGCCATTAGAGTGTTTTAGAACGCAGCAGAATCAGAAAAAAAATTGTATCTTCACGTGGTTGACATGTGTACATCAGTGACTGTTCTCTGTGCTTTGCTTCAGTGGTTGTTGAAACATCATTACTGAATAGGCATATGAACTAGACATTAAATGCGTGCAATACTAATAATATTAATTTTTAATTCTTTTTTAAGGGTGAACCGGGAAAGCCAGGAGAGCAAGGTTTAATGGCAAGTACCTCAGATTTTTCCTATTCTAAAAATTTCTGAAAGCTAGAATATTTCAGAGGCAACCTAATGGGCAGCATTATAATTGTGATTATCACCTTACACAGTTGTGCTTCAAACTGGTCTTGAAAAGCTTGTGATTCAAGAGAAAGTCAATTGGAGAATAGAAGATATGTTTTTCCTGAATAGCCCTTTTCAGTTCCCAGTTCTTACATGTGGCATTATAAAAGTTGTCTAATGGCCAGAGAAGGACCAGAAAAAAAGAAAAATCAATGGAATCAAAATGACCTTATTTTTGAAATTCAACCAAGAGCAAGTACTGTGTTCAAAAGACCATGAAGTTATAAAGCTAGCACAAATTCTCACTAGGAGCTTGTAAAATATATATGTATATGGATATACACACACATACACATGTACATTTGTATATGAAAACCAAATGATAAACATGATAGCATGTTATCAAATTAAAAAGCAAGTGTATTTTGTTTTCTTAGAGAAATATAAATTAAAGTGTATATAAATATATATATACACATATAGATACACACACATATATATGCATATACACATACACAAATATATAGATATGTATGTATCTATTTGTACCCCCAGTATATAGCACAGTGATAAGCACATAAGAAGTAAATTATTTAATAAATTAATTAATAAATAAAGCTTAATAAGTGCTTGTTTCCTATTGTGTGTTTATATTATGGATGTGTTTGTATATACATAATATAAACACACACATGTGCATGTAAACGTACATATACAATACACACATATACATATGCATACGTACACATATACATATCCACATACATATATCCACATAAATACATACATATACTGCATATATGTTTAGCAGTTTTCCTAAAAGGGTTATCTAAACAAAGCAGTACATAAAGTACATAATGATACCGTTACAAGATTTTGGCCGTTGGATGGAGGAAATTGTTTGAACATTAGCCATCCACCTCTAGTGTCTTTTAAAAAGCAAGAAGCCAATGTGCATCCACCTTTGCATAGAACCAGAATCCATGTTAAGTTCCATAGAATCACCTCTGCTACATATAAAATGTCTAGTTCACTTGCTTTTGATTTAGGAATAATGATCATAAAAGTACAAAAAATACCAATGAGATCTTGCAGTTCCATATGGTAGCCATTTAAGGTAAGGGGGGCAGTGAGGGGTGAGGGGGTCAAGAAGAGGAGGGAGGTGGTAAAAGAAATCTGGAGACGAAAGAGGAACAGAGAGCAAGGAAGCCAAGAGATAGAGACACACAGGGGAGAGAAATATGCAAAAGGAGGGAGTAGGAGACACAATTTGGTTCCACAGTTTTCTGCTGTAAGATAGATTAAATTCAAGTATGGTTGCGATTTCCTTGAAGAGGTGTGAAATTCCACCACAGGTGTGGATAGCTAGAAATTTTTTTTTCTTTTAAATTCCAGACTTATGATTTAGTTGATGCTGGAAACTCCTGGTAAAAACTGCTGCCATTAATACAGATGGCAAATTTTTTGTAATTTATTGAGAGCTGTTTGGGGGCGATGAGAGGTCAAGTGACTTCTCCAGGGTCTCAAAGCTAGTTCTCACAGTGAGGAATTGTTACACCTCAAAACACTTCCAATATTAGAAAGGCTTTTGATTTTAAACCTTTTGGTTCTTTTATCTGTGGGCTCCAAATGGGAGAAGTAGTTGTGTCCTTTTTGTTCATGTGTAACTTTAAAAATTGTTGCCCTATAAATTTCCTCTGTAAAATTTGTATACCATGAGTGTGAAATGTCTGTTATGATGTGAAACAAAAATTCATTATCAAAATTTGGGAGTTCAAATAATGTGTTGGCTCCTATTGAGGCTCAAAGTAGAAATGAAAAATATTATCAGGAACAAGAATCTAAGGGCAAAAACCATTTGAACAAGAGCTCTTGAAATTTTTTGTACCAAGGACCCCTTTGTCAAACTGGTGAAGGCAGTAGGCGTTTTTAAAGCAATTACTGTTTGCTGACCCATGTGCTAAGTGCTGAGGTTACAAATACAAGCAAAAAGAAAGACTATATATGTCCTCAAGGAGCCGAAGAGGCCGTGGGTCCTCCCCAAAATGGAGGCTCTGGGAGACACTCACCAAAGCAAAAAGGAGTTGACATGGTGAAGAAATGTTCCAGAGTGAGAAGGCCATAGGAAGTGATGAATGTTCCAGAGTAAGGAGATCCCAGGTACTTAATGGAGGTTCCAGACAGCTAGAGTCATGGTATTGAAGCTTGAAAAGTCAGAAGCACAGGAAGGGGTACTTATGACCTCTACTCAGAATAATGTTTCTAAAATATTCATAGCTGAAATAAATGCTAAATTTCAGTTAGAGGGTAGTGAAAATAAAGATGTCATTTCTTTCCCTATCAAGTTCATAGATCCCTAGAAATCTTGCCGCCATTTGGGTGTCTGGCTAAGCAAGTTAAGAACACTTGCTTTAAAGGCTGTATTCTAAATTGTATGTGTATACAGATAGAGATTTAGATGATAGAGATAGAGGTAGTTAGACAAAGAGTCCCAAAAGTCTTAATGCAATCTTAATTCCCTTAAAACTGAAGACTTTAGTGACACACTGAATTGCAATTTAAATGGTAAAAATGAATATTTTTCTCAAGGTTATGTATCAATGGTAATTGAAGAGATATCTTCCCAAGGGACAGTTAGCATCACAGAATTTCAACACTGGAAGGATCCTTAGAGTTTGTCTCATTCAGAGCATCTTCATCCGTAATCTGTGAATCTAAAAGAAAATCCATAACTATATTCCAATATAATTAATCTCCTTTTTATTCCCATGTATCCAGTTTTATGAATTTGAAAACATTGTCCTGAGACATCATAGGCATCACCAGACTGCCAAAGGAATCCGTGACACAAGCAAGGTCCAATTTAGTCCAATGCTCTCCTTCTTTCCTTCCTTTCTTCCTTTATTTCTTCCTTCCTTTCTTTTTCCTTTTTTTAGCCTTATGGAGACTTGGGTATATCTGTAGACAAATACAAAGGAGTCAAAGTATCCAGAAAAAGGTTGAAATGTGTGGGAGATGAGAGGTCCTTGAGGAGGAGACAGGATGCAATGGCGATAAGGGAGTTGAACCTTTGGGAGGAGTTATTCTGTGAAGGAGGAGAGTGAGGTGAGAGAACGGTGATGCTGACCTAATTCAAAGAATTGAGAAGAGCTTCTGAGGGATTCCATGGAGGATGGCTTCAGACTTCTCAGGAAGGAGGAAACTAAGCCTTCAGTAGTTAGTGGTGAGGGGAGAGAAGGAATCATTCAAAACCAGCGACTTGGAGAAAGATTTAAGAGGTCAGCAAGGTTACAGTAGAAAGAAAATATCAAGCAGCAACAAGGACCCAAATGAGGTTATATATTATGAATTTCTAATTGGTAAAATCAGGTCCACTTTTTTTACTTTATGCATTAATACTCACCTGCCCTTAGAGCAAGAATGGGAAAACCGAATGGATGAGTTTTATTCAGGAATGAAGATTTGTAGGACAGGAACAATGGAAAGACAAAGGATTATGAGCTTTTTTGGTTGTTATTCAGTCATTTTTCAGTTGTGTTTGACTCTTCATGACCTCATTTGGGGTTTTCTTGGCAGAGACCCTGGAATGTTTGCTCATTTTACAGATGACAAAAATTGAGGCAAACACGGTTAAGTGACTTGTCTAGGGTCACACAGCTAGTAAGTGTCTGAGGTCAGATTTGAACTCAGGAAGATGAGTCTTCTTGACTCCAAGCCCAGTGCTCTACCCATTACACCACCTTCCTGGTTATGGAATTAATTAGGGCAATAGCTAAAGAAACATTAAAGTAGCAAACCATAAAGTCAAGGCTGGAAGGAGAAGCAAGGAAAGCCAGAGTGTGGGAAATGGGCTGGGAGAATACTTAGCCCCAACTAGTTACCTAGTCCTATTCATAATTTTATCTATGCATGGATTTTACATGTATGATGCAATAGCTTATGAGCAAAGTCTGGCAAAGAAATAGATTTATTAGCAAAAGTAGCACAGTCCACCTTCGCTGTATTTATACATAATGCCTAGGATATACTATATGAATGACAAGTAGCCTAATCTCATCTCCCTACAATCCCTAGCTGGATATCATTTCAAGTAGAAATGTCATTAAATATAACTACTCAATTTATTCCTAAATGAATCATGCTACCATGTTGGTGTGCTCTGATGCTGTATCCCTCAAAGGAACAGTCTCAGTCTCAGTTGAAGGTGATGTGAGGCATGTTCCCACCCACCCCCCAGTCTCTTTCTTCCTCTTTTTAGCTTTTCAGACCCAGTTAATTCCCTAATTTGGTCACTCCCAGCTGAGAGGCTTAGTTGAAATGTTGTTGTTCAAGGGATAGTTGAGTTATCATGAGCCTTTCAAATCTGTTGCTTCTTTATACTTTGAAAGAAACTAAGCTTCCTTTGTTGGCATAGCCATTACCCTTGGTATGAAGGCAGAAGCCTCACGTTTCTAATAGTTAGTAATGATGATGATACCTACCCTACCCACTGCAAGGGTTACAGGGAAAATCAGAGGAGACAAATCATGGCAAAGTACTTTTAAAATTCAGAGTACTCAACACATGTTGGCTAGTATTTAAATGTTCTTTCTGGAATCAATTATGGGTGAACATTGATGTACACAACAGATTTATTCATGACAGTTTGTGTGTCAATAGCATTTTTATAAATCAGCTTCACTTGCTAAGAATTTAGGCACTGAAGGTGCGAAAAATGGCATGGTGTCTTGCCCCCAAAGGGCTTTTCTACTTAAGGGAAAGAGATGTTTAAATAAGTCAACAGAAAATATATACAATGTATATATTCATGGAGTTAGGTGGGAGAGGGGAGGGCAGGAGGGATTAACAACTAGGCATATTGGGGAAAGAATTCTAAAAGGCAAAGGTAAAGATGGATTGTGTTCCAGGTATGATGGAGAGCTTGTACAAAGGTACAGAAATAG